GGCGAGAGCCAGCTCCTGCTTATCGAGGAACATCTTGGGTATCTTCCGCCCTGGTACTCGTATCCACGTCCTCTGTCTGGGCAGCGAAAACTTTGCTGATATGTGACTCGGTCGAAGTGACTTTTTTTTGCCCCCCCCCCCTGTATTTATTGAATATAGCTGCAAAGCGACAGAATCGTCGCAGAACTTATATTTCAAGCCAATTGTTGTACCCAACACATTGAGTTCCCTTCCCGACAGCGCCGCCTTTCTTCGAATATTTCCTCAGATATTCTTCAACACTTTATTTCAGAGCCTTTTTGCACTTCCACTTCACACACCCACAGACTGACGAGCTCGATTATTATTTTTCCGAAACATATGTGTTTCTGCTTGTGTAATAAACCATACAAAAAAAAGTTTCAACAACTAGATAACAGGGCGCCGAGATGTTTCGACTTACCTGATTGATGGACGCAAACGCGTGTCTTGAAAGTGCCAAGTCTGAACCTGAGATCGATAGTTCCCTGATATTTTGAGCATGCCTACAATGGATAATCATTGGCATTGGACCAGCTGCAGGTCAGCTGAGGCAGCTAGAATGTACTGTCAATTAGAACACTGTTTTTGAACAAAAGAAGGGAGCCTAGTTTCAAGTCGAAGCAGAAGGGGGGGGGGCATTCTGCTCATGCCTCTCAACATCCCAGGCTATTGTGTCAAAACTTGTAAACTCTTATAAAACAACAAAATATGACCGGCCTTGTTTCTACGCCATTTCTTCGAAATTTTCTCATGTTAGACGGCATTAATGGCAAATCCGGAAGGTGCAAAGAAACGATTACGAGCCAGGTGGATAAAGGCTGCCTTCTGCCTAGGCCCAGGTGGAAGGAGTCACTGAGCTGGGTGGAGGAGCCATTTGTGCAAAAAAATGGTTTTTGAAAAGAATTTATCAAACATCAGATTTTACAGGGTTTACCGGAGTCACAATAAGCCCCTCCCACGCGGGCCACAGCTATAGCACGATTCCGTGCACTGGGATAGTCCCATTCCAAACAGTATTCCGCCGTACAGTAAGACATAGTGCAAGTTCTTCCATAACGCTCCTGCCTAGCTTCCCGCTTGGCAACTTGCAACTTACGCTACTTGCCTTTCCAACTCTTCAGTTCCACACGAAAAAGGATGTAGAAAACGAAGTTTTTGCGGCTTGTTCGTCTTGTAAGGGCCAGGGCGTTTTCAAAACTTTCTCTCGGTCTCAATTCATGTTATCTAACGGTATTTGTAAGCTTTTGTAAACGCGCTGCGAAATAGTGCAGAAGAGCCATTTTTGGTAGTGCGTGGTTTCAAGTGACCAAAGTTTTCACAAATAGAAAGCCCTATTCAGGCGTCTGCAGTACCATTTGCTGCTCACCAATTCGGAACGGTCACCTCAAAATTTTCGTCCACTAGGCGAGTTCGAAGTATGTTTCACGGGAGGCTGAACGAAGCTTCAAAAAATATACGTCTCGGTTGACAAGAATCAAAGAAAATCGCCCACACATTGCGCCATTTAAGTAATTTCTTCTGGTTTTTTAATAATGCGCTATCATTGCTCTCCCGGGGGGGTCCTGGAACCTGATTATTCTCGTTAAACTTTCCTCCGCTAACATTCAAGGCTTTTTTTCGAAGTTTAAAAGCAAATATTTTTTGGCAAAAGAAACAGACAGAAATAAATCTTGACCACATACCGGAATGCACCACTATGAACACGTTGCACAGGCGTTCGATGAAATTGAATTTTCACGCCAAAGTCATTGCCAATCCCGGAGAAGGACGCCTTTGGGATTTCATTCAGCCTTGGGCAGTTGCTAAAGTTGATCAGCCTGAAATTTCTTTCGGATTTAGAACTCAGTATGCTTATACGTCTCGATTCTTCACGCGTTATCTCTCATTAGGAAATACATGATATCAGGGCTTTTGATAATAGAATCATTCACGATTAAAGGGTTAAAAGTGGAATATTCGGCTCGCTAGCAGTTTTTTGAGATGCGCCACGCACTCTACTACCATGGAAATGCAGTGCCTTTTTGACGTGGCTCACATAGTTGACTATATACGCCAGATATAAGAGTTAGTGTTTTTCTTTTCTCACACAAAGTTTACGACAGCGAAGGCCTAGATCAGTCCTAGATGGGGGGGGGGGTCGCGACTGTAGACAGGTAGACGGGGCAGGCCTAAATATCGCTCCCCCTGCTCGACGGCAGTTTTCGGAGGAAACTGGAGAGTTTTTGGCAAAAAGAACTCTGGGAAGTGGTAGGAAGTTGAGAAAACTGAGAGAGATAGTAGGTAAGATGTGAGGAAGGAGAAGGAGGAGGTCGTACAAGATGGGGGATTTCCAAGAGGGAGAGGCGTATTTCGCAATAATGTCCTCCAACGGCAGGACGTTCCCTGCTCGCAGTATATTTTAATATGCTGTTAGAAACACTGACCCCATTTTCGAGCCGTAACGGACAAGCCGTAGCTACATTCCCTCAGATTTCTGACTTAGGGAGCATCCCCGCTGGAGACTTTTCCTTTCAGAGCTGTTTTTCAACATCTGACATTACTCTCTTGGAGACGGGTCACGCGTGCTGGGTGCCAAGTTCACATCCGGTCTGCTAATCGTGTGAGTTGTTTGGCGACGCCTCGAAGGCAATGACGACCGTCGGTCGACGAAGCTGCCACTTGCCCCAATGCACCCCACTCGCGACAGGAAATTGCCCCGATATTCTTCCACTTCCTTTTGCATTGATCCTAAGCCAAACTATACCTTCCGGGACTAGCGTGATGTTTAGCCTAGGGTGTGAGAAATGTAATATCCCTACGTGCAGGGTTCCTTGGCCAGATGATCGTAGCGGATCGCGTGACACAATTAACTACTAATTGAGACTTGACCCTAAGTGCTAGGGTGGTTGATGAGCTCGCAGTCACCTTAGAATCAATGAAGCGTAAAAATTAATCTTGGCCAGTAGGAAAGGTGCCAAATAAGAGGCCTTCGCAAAGGTACGTGCAAACCGTGTACAGTCTAGAACTTTACAAATCGTCAGTCCGAATGTTCCATCAGTAAGAGTTCCGCCTGGTAATGAGAGGAACGGCACGACTCCCACTTTTTGTTTGACGTCCGCCTTTTTCCAAGACTATTTTGCGCATTATTTTCCGTAAAAGAGTTTTTTAGATAGAATTCGAATAGAAGAACATATGGAAAAAGAACAATTAAAAACGGTACCTCAACTTCTTCATGCCCTTGAAAGCGAATTTCTCGAGAAATGTCAAATGGTCACAGTTTTCCAGATGGATTTCCCGTAATCGATCCATTCGACGAAATGCATGCTTTGGAATGGAACGAATCGAGGCGTTACGGATGACGAGCACCTCGAAACCGGACGGAATTGTGTCCGGAAGAGTGAGCAGTAACGAGCCTGAACACGTCACCTGAAAACGCAAGGATTCAGCGCTACGATTATGAAATTTCACAAAAATGACTGGAAAACATGAATCGCAAAGTAATCGCAGTTTATCAGCCCCTTTTCTTCTGCTTATGACTTTGCGGGGGCTCAGCCGTCAGAGTTCTCATCTTCTGCACATGACTCTATGCCAATTTAAGGCCCTTTGGAGAAGGCTCGCTTAGCCCGGGCGGTATCCGATCCGGGATTCACGCCCCGAACCGCTCGCGTGGTAAGACGCCACTTGCACTATACCATCTTCGCCTCACAAAATCAGTAGCACTAAAAATAAAGGCAAACTACGTAGAAAAACCTAAAAATAATGTAAAAGCGAGATACAGGAAGAAGTGGGATTAATGTACGTCAACGGGGGTGGTCCAGATACGTCCGTTATTCCGGTTAGGCTGTTTTCGTGGCTCCGGAAAGATTCCCATATTCAAAAATATTATTTTATTATTACCAATGTTCACTAGTATTTTAACTGTTGCTTTTGCAATAATTCATGTTGTAAAAAGCTCCCATTGTGTTGGTGAGGCGACGTAGATCCGTTTATTGACGTGTGCACGTGAAGATAGAAAATACAAGAATGAAAAACCTCTTTCAAGGTACTGCTTACATAGGAATTACAAGACTATCTTCTTCTTCGCCAAGTTCCTTTTCTGGCTGCGGTGGCGCTTTTCGTCGCTTATTTTTTCATAGGTTCATCATGAGCGGATTACTCATTGCATTGTTGCATGATTTGCAATGAGACATTCTTCAATATATTGTTTACCCTGTGTCGCTATTATAACTATCATACTATTGAGGCAAATTTCTCATTGGGTCGTCATATGTTATGTTATGTTTATTACGCGCATAAGGCGAACGTGATAGAGAAAGACAAACAAAGAACCTGAAAAAGAGAACCTACAGAAGCAGTACGAAGACACAACACGTCAACACTCGGAAAACGGCCTCGCTCAGTTATTAAGAAAATAAGCGGAATGATATTGAAGTCAACAAAGTAAAATGTTGCGATTCCAGCTTATTCACAATCCGAAACTAGACTATTCGATTAAACTTGACTGGAAGTTAGGAGATTCAAAACCCCATCTGGAATAGCTGAGATGTTTCATGAAACATATCGTATTCTTGTCGCAACCCGGCCCTCTATTTGATTCCTTTTCCATTTCTATTTTTGCGGGAGTACTTGTATTCTTCTTCAAATTACGATGAGCGCTTTCTCAGTAACACCGCCACTCCTGAGCTGAAAACTTCTCAAATGGTTTATCGCCCATCGTCTTGATCCAGTCAACTGCACGAGCATTCACTGATCGCCAGATGTTGCGGAGCTGGATGCGAGGTAGATCCGTTTATCGTGTGTATGTAGAGAAAGAACTCAAGGATGACCAACCTCACTCGAGGTACCATTCATAAGGGGCTTACAACCGCTTTGCAAATGAAGAAGAATTTTTAAATGATAGCCTAGCCTTTGTGTAAGCGGCTGTAGCCCTACAACACACTGCAAAAGTGAGGCTATGAATTACAATAGACATTTCCTCAGAACAGAAAGAACAACGAGAAAGGGATCTTGTTGAAGCAAACTTTCAAGCTTATAGGAGATAACAGGCCTTAATTGAGCCTACTCCCCTTTCCTTTCTAACTTTTGATTTTTCGTGACTGTTGTGTTTTTTCGACCTCGTCGGAGTACTGGCCCCAAATGTGGTGTGAACCCGGAGGATCGCACGTAAACAAATACATTCAGTCAAGAAAATATAATAAACAAACACGAGTGGTACAATAACACAATGAGGAAAAACCTTGCAAATAACGTTAGAATGGGAATTCCATTAGTTTACGAGATAACTGAATTACATGAATCTCCTATCAAGATTAAGCCACAGTCACTACTTAATTACATGAAAACAAGTCACTGTAAATTATCAGAATATTTATTGGTAAAAACAAGGGTACCTTAAGAGATAAACGTCAGCCCTTTGTAAGCTGATCTAACTCTACCCTACTTTGAATATACTACTCTCTTGAAGAACCCCGAGAACAAATCAAACTAAGACCTTTACATGGACGATATCGTAATTATACATAATAGCAATACACACCGTCTTAGAATATAAATCGATAAAACGTACAAAATCTTAAAGTTATTAAAGTTACAAATGACATTGATTATACCTGTAATTATTTAGACCTATAATTAAACACAGTTACAAACGAAATTTATACAAAAATATACAGCTAGACGGACAACTTCAACTTTCCATAAAAAGATTTTTCCAGTGTTGGAACAAATATATCTAATCATATCGAACTGCAAATAATCAATGATGTTCATCAAATTATTACGAACAGCGCGAACATTTTTAATGAGAAAGATTTCTTGTGATTAACAAGAGCTCAAAGTATACCACGAGGACAGTTTTGTAGATTTGTACTACAACGCTGGGACTTAAATATTTTCTTATGGTAACACAGCAATGACATGACTTGTACACCAACCGAAAAAACATATAAATATCTACCTGAAGGTACCAAATTGTTGAGGGAGATGATTTGCGAAGGGTATAGGCAGGCAACCAATTGGGATTCAGACAGCAATGGTCTTGAGAGCTCTAATTCAACAACTTATTGATTCAAACAATTGAAGGTTGCGTAACTACAGAACGAAGAATTAGTCCCCAACTTCTTCTCTTCGGTATAACAACAAACCAACCTCAGCAATATGTTTGTAACTGATGTCTAATTACTCATCTGCGTACGAGTTTGTAAGGTGGAACTTTATTTACGGCCTAACGTTTCGACCAGATCTTCGTCCTCAGAGGCCTGAACGTAGCTCAAGATTTTTAATTTGCTCTCTACACCGCCAAACGCCTTGTCGCCCCAGCGTTTCCGACGGTACTTCCAGAAACAACCAAAAACCTCCCGTATGTAAAACATACTCACCCGAGTCCAAGCCGGCATGAAGCGGATTCATTGCCGGCTCCAATAGATGTTAGTAAAGTAAGTGAGACACAGTCCGTGCCTGCTTTGGATAGTAGCTATGAAGGAACGCTGCGCACATCCACGGCTTATATCATTGGCTCGCAGTGTGGCGGGAGGTTTTTGGTTGTTTCTAGAAGTACCGGCTGGGGCGACAAGGCGTTTGGCCGTGTAGAGAGCAAATTAAAAATCTTGAGCTACGTTCAGGCCATCCTGTCAGGACGACGATGTGGCGAAAAGTTATCCTAAGGAGATCCTAAATATGAAAGTTTTCAGTCACAAAACCTCGTTGAACGCAGAGTATAAGAACATTCAGTTAGACCCCAAAGAATCTTTGGAAAGAGGGCCAATGGTCATTGAACCTTATCTCTAATACATAAGAATTTATGGAGTACTATTGATCATTATGGTTGCGTAACTTCCTACGTAGTACAATTTCTATTATTTTAATGTAACGAAAACGACGGTGGATAGGGGACTTAGGTTTTTCTAAAGAAGATCCTAAAGAGTATTTAGGCCGCGTTCATACCGTGCGACGACTTTTGCGTAAGTTGCGTAAGTTGCGTAAGCTGCGACTAGTTCGTGAAGAATACATACGTATCGATCCGACGAAAGCTGCGTAAGCTGCGTAAGTTGCGTAACCTGCGTAAGTTGCGTAAGTTGCGACTAGTTTGTGAAGAACACATACGTATCGATCCAAATAAAGCTGCGTAAGTTGCGTAAGTTGCGTAACCTGCGTAAGCTGCGTAAGTTGCGTAAGTTGCGTAAGCTGCGTAAGTTGCGTAAGCTGCGTAAGTTGCGTAACCGACGACAACTTCTCTGAGAATAGATACGTATCGATCCGACGAAAGCGACGGAAGTGGCTGTAGGGCCATTTTTTGCATTTTGAGAATACTTCTCCCCTTTATTTTTTCTTTCCTTTTCCTATTTCCTTAATCATCTCAATTTATCTTCAATCCATTCTATCCTTGCTGTTTTTCGTGAAAAATAGCATGACGTGGCTTATGACGTGGCATCCTAGTGTATAAGCAAGAAATTCTACAGATGGGCTACTGAGAAGGAAGGCAGAAAGAGTTTTTAAACAGCAGTGAATGTACAAAAAATAGGTGCACAAAACGCTGAGAACTTTCCGGACAACCTAATACAATTATGTGGCTCGGTCGAAATGTCTTTTTTTTTTTGCTCCCCCCCCTCTTGTATATACGAATGACACAGCAAATTGATAGGAAGTAACTACGGCAATTTCGAGGAAGAAAGTAAGAACAAAAATGAAGAGAGTTCGGCGATTTTGAGAAAGAAAGAAGAAAAGAATAAACCAAGATTATTAGGAACTCTCTGTCTCTCCACAGTGAACTCCGATGTTATCCAGGCACACGCGAGGCAGCGGTGGCGCCACGTCTGCACGCAACTTACGCAGCTTACGCAACTTACGCAGCTTACGCAACTTACGCAACTTTCGCAGCTTACGCAACTTACGCAGCTTACGCAACTTACGCAGCTTACGCAACTTACGCAGCTTTTCCGTCAAATCGATATGTATCCAGTCTGCGTGAAGCTGTCGTCGGTTCGCAATGCTTACGCCAAAAAAAACTACGGCAACTTACGCAGCTTACGCAACTTACGCAGCTTTCGTTGGATCGATACGTATGTATTATTCACGAACCAGTCGCAGCTTACGCAACTTACGCAGCTTACGCAGCTTTCGTCGACGTTGACGACGACGTCGCACGGTATGAACGCGGCCTTAACGACAAAAGAAACTCATCCTGCGGTCCATCGCGACCTTCGTGGAAAAAAATGAGTCAAGTACACCGAGTGTCAGGAAGATTGAACACGTCTAACACGTCTTATCATTACTCCTGTGAAGTCTTTTCATTTACTCATGGTCAGCAAGCAGGGCAGGACGTTGTCGATTGAAGCGTAAGTTCATTTTAACAATAGAAAAATGTAGCTAAAACTTGGACGTCAGAATTGTTGCATAATTTTGTAAAAAAATGTACTCTCACATCACTATAGCAAATCACG